TTCGATTTTCAGTTCATTTCACTATTCTCACTTGATCTTGTCAAAAATCGAAACTAGGGTTTTGCAGAGCCCCATTTGATCGAAGAAGCAAAGGGAAGCATTGCCTGAGTCTCGCGCTCGACTCAACCTGCACGTGGTATCAGAGCCCGGCTCCGGCAAACAAGGGTTAATTACCTGCGGAGGAAATGAGTTCGAGCACAAGCAATGGTGGAGTATTCATGGCTGATGGCTTTTCCCAGACCAGACCGCCGAGATTCAAAGGAGTCCATTATGGTTACTGGCGCAATCGCATGGAATTGTTCATAGGGTCAACCGATCCTGATCTCTGGAGTATTGTGCTGTATGGACCACTTGAAGTGAAGGAGGCACGAGGAAAATGGACAGACGAGGACAAGCGGAATTTCTAGTTGAATTCCAAAGCGACGAATATCATGTATTGTGCGCTAGGTCCGGAAGAGTATCATCGAGTCTCAGGTTTCAAAACTGCAAAGGAGATTTGGGACAAATTGCAAGTCGCCCATGAAGTTACTACTCACATAAAAATATCTAGAATTAATCGATTGAAGCAAGAGTTTTAGTCATTTGTGATGAAGCCTGAGGAAACCATCAAGGAGATGCACGATAGGTTTACTACCATTGTAAACAGTTTGAGAAATCTGGATGTGGAGTACAACAGTGCTGACCTTGTGAGAAAAGTGCTTTGGGCTCTCCCAAAACGTTGGACTCCCAAGGTTACTGCAATCGAAGAATCAAAGGATTTAACAAAGCTGAGTTTGGATGAACTCATGGGTTCATTAGTTACACACGAAGAAAAACAAAGAAGAGAAGAAGGAGAGGAGGTTCGTAAAGAAAAGAAGAGCATTGCATTCAAAGTATCTGCACCAGAAGAAGAACTCGACTGCCTGGAATACATGGAAGATGAAGAACCGGCCATGCTAAGTAAGCATGTGGCCAAGCTACTTAAACTGCGCAGAGAGAAGAGAAAAGGAGGTTTCCCTAATCGCACAAGGGAAGGTGATTCAGAAAAGGAGCAAATGAACACGTTTAGGGCCAATCCAAGAGCCAGATGAGAGTTTATCAGCAACGACAACAAGGCTGGATCATCAGCAAGGTGCTTCAAGTGTGGAAGGAGTGGGCACATCAAAGCAGACTGTCCACAAATAAAGCGAGAGAAAGCATACACCGCCACCTGGAGTTGCAATGAAGATGAAGAGGTCGAGCCCAAATATGAAGCATATATGGCCATTGATGAGAGTGAAGATGATATGGAAGCATCACAGGTCAGGAATTCTAACTACTATTCAGATTCATGTGATGAAGATGGTCAAATAATAGAAACCATAAGGGACATTCAGTCAGAATTCAAAATTGTTAGATCAAAACATATTCGAATGAAATCCGAATTCGAGGATCTACTTAGAAGTTACAATATAATGAAAAAAGAAAAATTGGAAACAGATGAAAGACTGGAAGAAGCTGTAAGAAGAAATGCAGAACTAGAGGCAGAAATTGCCAAAAGTAGGAAAGCTTGTAGGAATCTGTGTGCACAACATAATAAGCCACTAAGAACACAAAAAAGTCATAACAACTCAACCCCAGAATGTTTTTATTGTCATGGTCTAGGACATTATATCTCACACTGTCAAAAACGAATAGCTAAGGAAGCTAGGTTAAAAGAAACATTATGCTTTTCATGTCATAAGAAGGGGCATATAAGTTATAATTGTACTGATGTCAAAATGAGAATTGGAGTATTCAAAATGGTTTGGATCTCGAAAAACAAATAAAATGTTTTTGTGTCCAGGTCTGCTTCCAAGTGAGCATGGAAGACAACGAATGGATTCTGGACAATGGGTGCTCACACCACATGACTGGAAATGAAAAAATCTTTTCTAAACTGATTAAGGGTAAGAAAGGTAAGGTTTACTTTAGAGATAATTATAGTACTGATGACCAATTATAACTAATGTGATGTGGGTCTATGGTCTTAAGCATAACTTGTTTTCGATAAGTCAAATGTGTGGAGAAACAAATAGGGTGATTTTCAAACCTAATAAATGCTATGTTGAGAACATTGAAAAGGAAAATTATTCTGCATAAACCTGAATAACAAGAATGATTTTAATGAGATGTGTTTGATAACTGTGGATAAAAATGAGCAGTTAGATTGGCATAGAAAGTTGGGCCATATTAGTGTAGGATCCTTAGCTAAACTGATTAGCCTGGATAGTGTAATTGGAATACCAAAAATAAACAGTAAAAAGGAATTCTTTTGTGAAGCCTGCACAAGAGGTAAGCAGGTTAGATCTTCATTTAAGAGTAAACCTGTAATTTCTACTTCTAAACCATTAGAATTATTACATTTAGATCTCTTTGGTCCAAGTAATGTAATGAGTCTTGGTGGAAAATACTATGTCTGTGTAGTTGTAGATGATTACTCCAGGTTTACATGGGTGATGTTTCTCTCGAATAAATGGGAGACTTTTGTGCAATTTAAAAATCTGGTTAAACAACTAGAGAATGAAAAGGGTACCAGAATTGTGAGTATAAGAAGTGATCAAGGGGGAGAGTTTATTTCTAATAGTTTTGATAAATTCTGTGAAGAGACAGGTATATCTCATAACTTTTTTGCTCCTAGAACTCCTCAGCAAAATGAAGTGGTAGAAAGGAAAAATCACACCTTAATAGATATAGCTAGGACTATGTTAAATGACTATGGATTACCAAAATATTTCTGGGCAGAAGCCATAAACACTGCCTGCTATATTATCAATAGAGGTCTAATCAGGTCTAAGCTAAATAAAACACCTAATGAATTATGGAAAAACAAAAAACCAAATGTGGGATATTTTCACCATTTCGGGTGCAGATGTTTTGTTCTCAATACCAAAGATAATCTAGGGAAGTTCGACTCTAAGTCAGATGAAGCAATATTTTTAGGGTATTCTGTTCATAGCAGGGCTTTCAAGGTATACAATTAACAGACCCTCAAAGTTGAGGAGTCCATAAATGTGGTATTTGATGATTCTCCTAGTAAGTGTGCAGATCAAATTGATGAAGATGATGATCTTGGGTTAGGAAGACCACATAAATCTAGTCAAGTAGAACAAGCTGAACAGGAGATGAGAAATGAAGGCGCACGAGAATAGATAGGTGAAGGAGAAACAGTAGAGACTGATATAAACAAAGTCAAAGAAGCACCTTTGCACATTCAAAAACGGCATCCACCATCTTAGGTCATAGGTGACTTGAGAGAAGGTATGGTTACTCGATCTAAACTGTCATATGTGCATACTGCTTCTTTGTCTCTATTAGTACCTAAGAATATTAAAGAGGCCCTGAATGATGAATTCTGGACAGCCTCTATGCAAGATGAAATGGGGTATTTTGAAAGATTAAATGTTTGGGAACTCGTTCCAAAACCTGAGGATAAACCTATAATTGGAACCAAGTGGGTCTATAAGAATAAAACTGATGAAATTGGTGATATAACTAAGAACAAATCTAGGTTAGTAGCACAGGGGTATGATCAGGAGGAAGGAATAGACTTCGATGAATCATTTGCTCATGTAGCTAGACTAGAAGCCATCAGGCTGTTGTGTGCTTTTGCTGCATCTTAAAGATTTAAACTATATCAGATGGACGTTAAAAGTGCCTTTCTCAATGGAGACTTAAAAGAAGAAGTTTATGTTGCTCAACCTCCTGGGTTTGAAAATCACAAATTTCTTAATCATGTATATAAACGGAACAAAGCCCTATATGGATTGAAACAAGCCCCTAGGGCTTGGTATGATAAACTCAGTAATTTCTTAATAATGGATGGTTTTCGTAGAGGCTCTGTAGATAAAACTGTATTCATTAAAAGCTTAAATGGTAATACTATGCTTGTTCAAGTGTATGTAAACGACTTAATTTTTGGCTCGTCTAGTCAAGAAATGTGTAAACAGTTTGAATCAGCAATGAAAGGGGCATTTGAGATGAGCTTAATGGGGGAACTAACGTATTTCTTGGGTCTGCAAGTTCAGCAGACTAGCAAAGGCACCTTTATAAGTCAAACTAAATACTTAAACAACATGCTCGAACACTTTGACCTTAAGAATTTGAAATCTGCAGTTACACCAATGGGTTCCACAGTAAAACTCTTTTTGGATGAATCAGGAGAACAAGTTAGTGATAAATTATATCGAGGAATGATTGGCTCTCTTCTCTATCTAATTGCCAGTAGGCCTGACATAATGTACAGTGTGTGTGCTGGTGCCATATTTCAGAGCAATCCTAAGATTAGTCATCTAACTGTAGTAAAACGTATCTTTCGTTATCTCAGTGGTACTGTTTCTCTTGGGTTGTGGTATTCGTGTGAGTCAAGTCTTGAATTGCTAGGGTATAGCGATTCTGACTATGCTGGATGTATGACTGATAGGAAGAGCACATCTGGGACGTGTCATTTTCTTGGCACGTCACTCATTTCCTGGGCTAGTAAGAAGCAGAGCTCTGTTGCATTATCAACTGCCGAGGCAGAATATATCGCAGCAGGGTTAGGTTGTACTCAACTATTGTGGTTGAAGTACCAGCTTCAGAACTATGGTGTTAGTATAGGATCCCTCCCCATCTTGTGTGATAACACGAGTGCTATAAACATGACAAAAAATCCTATTCAACACTCGCGAACTAAACATATCGAAGTACGTTATCGCTTTATTCGTGATCTCGTACAAGATGGCATAATCCATTTAGAATTCATTAATACAGAGATGCAATGGGCCGATATTTTTACTAAACCTTTAAGTGCTGAAAAATTCTTACCAATTCGAAATGAACTTGGCATGTTTACTCAAGAAGAATTTAATGAGATTTGATTGCACCTAACATATTCTCTTGCCTTGTTTTCACGGATCTCTTCCACTCATCCTCTGATTCTTTCCCTTCCATCCGAAGAGTTTCATTGGTTTAATGCAGTCTACTGTATATAAACCTAATACCATCTCTTTGTTCTCTTCATTATCCCCCCACTGCCTCACAACCTCTTTGGTAAACAGAAAGAAAACAAACACATCTTTTAAAAAATGGTTCCTAATACCACTCAGTTGCAGTCGTCGGTCCTGTTCAAAAATCAAAGCTTTCGCAATGCTGTTACCTACTCTGGGTATCTTTGTAGTTTCCGTGATCGACCTCTCTACCCTTCCTTCTCCATTCAGCCTACCACCTTCTCAAAATATGATATGAATATACCTGCATATCTTAAGAATCTAGGATGGGATTCTCTGGTCACAAATCTGCGGTTTAGTCAATGTCCTGAGGCTATTCGTCTCTTCTATGTCAATCTTAGATGTGGTCCCGGGAGTGATCCAAACTTCTTCACCACACTAGTTTATGACTATTAGATTAAAGTGACGCCTGAGTTGCTGGCGTCAGTCTTGGAACTCCCTCATGGTGGGATTCAGGCTGGAACAGACAGGGAGTTCTATCAGTCTGGCTTCCGGTTCGATCACGCACTTGAATCCCTGGTTCGTGACATAGGCCGCTGGTTTCCATCCAAACTCGCCGCTGGCAGGTTGCCAGATGATCTCAAGGTGGTGTTCTTCTTTCTCGCGCGCTGGTTCCTGCCTCGTGATCTTACCAACACTAATCTCCTCCATTCTCCTGACCTCTGGGTTCTTTTTAATGCGAGTGCTGGTTGTCGCATTAGTTATGCCTCTCTCATGTTCCAGCACATGATAAATTTTGGGCGTGAATACTACAGTGGTCCATTGCCATTTGGCCCTCAAATCACGCATTTTATATATCGTTTGGGCATTGACTTACGTGATAAAGTTATTGTCTGTGATGTTGTGGATGATTTGCGTCCTCAGCACGTCCTTGCTCGTCTCGATGCATTGGTTGGTCCCCGTAAGCCTGTCACTAGCTTAGGGGGAGTGAACAGTCATCAACAGATTGCTACCTCGGCTCTTGTTAATGTAGCTGCTGCAGCATTTAAACAAGATGCTACTACCAAGAGTGGTCCAAAGAGGAAGCTAATGCTTGAAACGGATTTGATGTTACCAAAGTTTGTATATGAGTCTAATCAGATCAGTGATCTGATTACTCTAGATTCAGACTCTAGTGATGAGGATAGGGTTTTAGGATATGCATCACCTCCTAACTATCCGTTTTAAGAAGTGATCTGAAGGCATAGTTGAGCCTTAGGACATTATCTTATGGTCTTTTGAGTTGTTTGTCGAGTCGAGGATTTCTGTCTTTGGGGGTTTTTGTCTTTGGATATTGTTTTGAAAGAAGAATAAATGAATGAATAAATGAATGAATTTCCTTTTCAGCGCAACAAGTGTACAAGTGTGTTTGGACAGGCTGCACCCATGGTTTGTTTAATGTGTGCAAGTTGCTGAGTAGAGCCACTGACAAGCTTAGGGGGAGAACGTTGAAAGAAGGCAAGCTTGTGCCAGGCTCTAATTGAGGATACCCGAGGAAAATGATCGAAAAGGAAATTCCACTCTCGGCAAAATAATTGAGAAAGGTGTCTTCAATCATGCTCAAAGCAGAATCTGTTTGATCGATATCATTAGGTGTTAACGGCTAGGAGAATGTATATATAAAGAGTGAAAGGGCCTGGGTAGAAAGCCGTATCCTTTTCACGAGAATAAAAAACAGAAACAAAGGTGTATTGTCAGGGTTTTTTATTAGAGGAGAGAGCTGTCAGGGAGAGAGCTTGAAAGGTTTAGTTCATCGAGTTTGAACTGCGGCAGGGAGCTATAGGTTCTGAGTGATTCTGAGCAGGGTGACAGGGATTCATTGCAAGATCAAAGCTGTACTATGTAATCAGAAACCAAAGATCATAGTATAACATCAAAGGACTCAAGCAGAGTACCTTTGATCGTGGATTAGTCGATACTGAATTCATCAGTATTGGATACCACGTAAAAATATTGTGTCCGAGTTTACTTGTGTTTTACTGTGTTTCATCTTATTTCCAGTTCATATCTGTGTTCTTGATTTGGTGCGAGTTTGAGTTTTGTGCAGAACAGGGTTTGATCGATTTGTTCAAGGGAAAGAGAAAGAAAATGAGTTCTCAAAACGCAGTGTTCTACTAAAGTGATCTGGGCCGTTTTAACATTGACAGTTTGATAACGACCTAAGCGCAACCCACTTCAAGATAAATTACCAGATCCGTTGTGGTTTTGATAAACACGAAAAGAGAAGTCACTTTACCCTTTCCATCGATTCGATTTTTAGTTCCTAGCAAGAACGTCACACAATCCTCCTATGTAGAACCTCAATGGAACTCAAAAGCGAGAGCTCCGGGACACAAGGATGAAACGCGTCTAGACACAAAGAAAGGATGGGGGATCATTCTATCAAGCACCATTAAGCTCACTAGCAAAAATCTCCTAACATGAGAACGACCCCCAAAGTCACAAGCTCAAAGGGGTTGACTAGTGGATAAATCATTTCGGGACAATCAACATTTGGGCGTGGACTAATCCTATGCCTCCATCATACTCATTAGTGACAACTGTGATGTTACTCGCCATGGTAAGAGGGATCTAAGCACACAAGAAGAAAACAATCGGCTCAAAACTCACATGGCTACCTAGTCACTCAGCCATCTATTCCAATTCACAAAGCAACATGCATGGCAATTGTAATCAACAAGTAATCGAGTCAAAACATCCATTCATTTTTGAACACAAGAGAACTAAACCTTTGCAATATCCTAATGGACATCTCAGTCATCATCATAGGACATACTCGATCACATGCAACAATTCAAGGTTAGAGCCAATAGACATGAAATTCTCCCACAAACCGGCCACATTGATTGTGCAAACATTGCTTGGAGCCCTCAAATTTTCAAAATTTGGGCAAACATGAAGGATCCAAGCATCAATCACACTCACACAAGCATAATAATAAAATACCCCCCCCCCACACACACACACACTTAATCTCGACATTGCGCTCAACGGCATAAGATAGTGGTAGAACGATGTTACCGCTTTGCTTGGTGAGTGAAAGTTGGAATTGTTTCCGGGGTAGAATATTTGGAGCTTCAAGGAGAAGACAAAAACACACATACACAAACACAATATGACTCGCTCAAGGAGATTTTATTACACACACAATACAATAGTAGTAGTAGTTTAAAGTCACAAACACATAAAAGAAAGAAAAATAAGAAAAACGAGTTCAGAGTTCCAAGTGGAGTAGTGGGGCGAAAGGAATCGGCCCTGCCACATATCTCCCTAGTCGGCTACCTCTCACTGGGTCGAAGGCCCCGACTCATCATCGAGAATGAGACTTTGGGGTCGAGCCATCTGCTCAAGGAGGTCGGTCTGCCGGTCGAGGCGGGAAGTCACTCCCACATACTGAGTCTCGAGGTGATCCATCCTCTGGACGAGGGGATCACCGGCTGCTCTAGATGATGAAGCTGGTGGTGGTGGTGGTGGTGGTATAGGGCGCTAGAGCGCGGGATGCCGGCGGCAGCCGGGTGCTCGAGCAGGTGGCTGCTCTGGGGGTGGAACCCCTGCATCTTGCTCCACTGGAGCCGGGTCAACTGCTGGGTGCATGGCTCCCGAAGGTTGGAGCCCGTCTAGGTACTTGATCCCCCTCTCTTGAAGTACAAAATGCTAGTTATAGAGTGTAGCCACTTGGAAGGGATCGATTCTCGCGACGATGGAGCATCGCTCCACATCCACTCCGAAGTGGCGGGCCATCCTCGTGATGATGCCCCCCATGTGTATGGTGTCTCCCCTGTTCCGGCTTAGACACCAGGCGAAAGAGTTGGCTATCAGTGATTCCAGATTGATCGGAACCGCATGATGCCTCATGAAGAAGAGATCCAGAAGCCCTTTGTTCGTCATCAGATGTCCTGACTGCAGACTGGGGACAACTGAAAGGGTGAGCAGTGTGTGGAGAATCCTCCAGGGAGTCCTCAGCTTCACCGCATTGGTGCGGCTCACTTCGTACTCCTCGTGCTCGTGCTCGAGGCGGCGGAGGGCCCGGAATGTGGCCTGATAATGGAAGTCGATGGTGTACTGCCGCTCCATCATAGTCATGTGAGTCAGGTCGAGCCCCATGGCCTAGGCGAAAGCGTCATAGGTCAACACTCGGGGCTGACCTCCCAACATGAACTCCACATATGGTCGGCTCTCTTGTCGGTCGGGACTATGTGGGCAAACGTGGAGTAGAAATCCAAGCATAGCTCGTGGTAGATGAGCTCGTCCATGGTGAGGAGCAGGCGCCACTGGGGGTGACAGAAAAACCCTGACATTGCGGCTCGGCACCTGAACATGTTAAACATCTCCAGGTCCAGCCGCCAATGTGGCCCGATAGGGCTATCACTCTGGTAGGCAAAATCGTTTCAAAACCGCGCATGGTTCACCAGGTAGCTGATGAACTCGTGCTCCTCGTTAAACATCCTGCAATATTTGGCAAACAAACACCATACGTGGAAACATTCGTTAAGTACAACTCATTGGGAGGAAAAAGAAATCCCCCCCCCCCCACACACTTGTATCTCCACTGTGGATTTCAAACATTTAAGTTCAACACACCGTGGCATGGTTGTGGGTATTTCACGGTTCATGTACACAAAAAATTTGAACCCCAACCCATGCCATAGTGGTACTATCCACCATTCAAGCATAACAATGCACATTCATTCAAAAATTAGCACTTGGTGGACAAAATCTACAAATGAAAGCAATTCGAATCAACAAATGCGCACCAAGGCTCACTAAGCTCATGCAAAGTCAATCATCCATTCAATCATCCTAATTCACCTAATTTCTCGCCCTAATTCAAAGTTCAATATTCAAGGCACTAAAATTCTCCTCACTTCACTACCTTATCCGATTCTCCCAAAATAAATAAGGTAGAGTTGGAAAACCAACCTGGAGACACAAGTCGGACGTAGAAGAAAGTGAGGTGAGGGCGAGGAAGGTGAAAAACAGCTGAAAACAGCCCGTAGAAGTGTGTCCGAAGCTTCGTCAGAAGCTCGCCGGACTCTCGTCGGAGGCTCACTAGCGGCGACTTTGCCGGAATTTTTTCGCTCCAAATCTCCCCAAAATCCCGGCGAAGGCCGCCTTTGATGAGGGAAGAATGAGTGTGAGGTTTGATTTGGATTTTGCTCACCGAAAGTGGGTAAAATGGCATGAAAATCATCGAGAGATTCGCGGTTTTACGGCGAGATTTGAATTTTCCGGCGAGTTTTGAGTCGTGAAGTGAAGGGGCAACGTTGACGCCCCTTTTATAGACGACGCTAGCAGTTCATGGACGCGTTTTCTAGTTCACGGTCGTTAAGACCGTGAACACAACTATACGGTCGTGAACTGTGGGTGGTCGACAACTAGCACGCTCATGGAAGTCCCCTGTTCACGGACGCATTTGCCTGTTCACGGTCTTGTAAGACCGTGAACTTGGCAATCCGTCCATGAACATCAGCTAAAACAGTGCACTTATGAATTATTTTTTACTCGACCTAATTCACCATGCCTTCTATCGATCACGACACAACCTTAAAACACAAAACCACAAAACGTGGCACGGGGATACCACTCGATCACTAGAACCCTTCCCTCGAGACACAAAAAAACAAAGATAAGGAAAATAAAACAAACCTACGTTGGGTTGCCTCCCAACAAGCTCTAAGTTAACGTCACTAGCTTGACGTTGCGGATCTATCATGTTTTGGGACATGATGCCACCGAGAGTGGATCCGCCACGTTCTCCAGGCGATTAATGTAGCCTCCCAACTTAAGCTCCATGGGGTGGCCTTCCTGGCCGACGACCTTAGCTTTGCCCTTCTCCTTCCTTCGGGCCAAAGCTTGCTTAATCTTTTCCCTCCAAGCTTTCTTCTTTTTTTCTTTGGGCTTAGTACCCTTCCTTAACTTCCTGCTTAACATCACAACAAGCAACACAAGTAATAGTGGGGTTCGCCTTGAGAGGCTCTCCTCCACTCACATTAAAGTCATCCGATACCAACTCCTTCACATCCTCACTTCTAGCCTTAGGTCCAATTTCAAGAGTGATCCTCTCCTCACCATCCCTCATAATCAAGGTCCCCTAATTAACATCAATTAACGCCATGGCGGTGACAAGGAAGGACCGTCCTAGTATGTGTGGCATGTCTGAGTCCTCACTTATATCAAGGATCACAAAATCCGTCGGATAGCAAAACTTGCCTACTCGTACTAACATGTCCTCCACGATCCCCCTAGGATTAATGATGGAGCGGTCGGCTAACGTGACACTTGTAGACACCACATTTGTCCGGGACAACAACTCTACTTCAAATTCAAAA